TCTTCGCCATATCCATCTCCCGGGGAAAGTGACACCAAGAAAATCTCTCTCATCGGTTTGGTAATGTGGTTGCACATACTGCTAAAAGTAACACGCTTCATTCAAGAGCAAGTCATTAAGAACTGGTATAACGTTGTCTCGCGAAATTGAAAATGCCTGTGTTGCCATTCCGCTAGAAAAAATATAGTGTGTATGTCGCTCTGTTACACATCAACAATGCATTGATGCTGATAATCACTTTAAACATTTGTAACTTTAAGGTAATCAGCACAACAATAAGTTAATGTCTGTCTATTTTACTTCTTAAAATGTATGGTAATAAAATGTGTATACATTTTACACCCTATATATCTCTGTATTTATGCAATATTTCTTAATTATTCATATGCATTACAATAATTAATCGTCAATATTTACTACATTTATAAACTTTAATACTTTTTGCTTTTCTTTTGTAGGAGAAATGATATTATTGCAACGTTAATTGTAATTGTAACGCATGTAGACACTGTACACAATATAGAAAAGGTATATTTTCCAAATTTTACACTAACACACTTATGTCTTGATATCTAAATATAAAGTTTTATATTTACTTATATTTGATATATATATGACAGAATTGACGAGAATTACCCTGTGCAGTGTAAATTATACTTTGTCAAACTAATGCAAGAGATTCTCTATTCATTGATATTATTGAAATAATTTTTATTAGATAACTAAATTTGCATCGAGTTATGAATACCAAGTAGCGCTTGAAAGAAAAATAAGAAAACGAAGATTGGAATACGGAAAGCTAACCCGAAAGTACAACTACTACTTTTCTTCCGCCCTAAGTGAAGCAACAAACATAAGCGAAACATTTGAATAAATGGAAGACAACAATTCATTTTTTTGACATAAAATTATATATTGATAATTCTTATAACCTCTTTCGTAATATTTATCAAATAATAACCAAGTATTTAAAATTATTAAATTTCTTTCTAAACTATTTTTTTTACCTTAATATTATTGTCGTTTCTAATACTATAAACTTTGAATAACACAGATTTTTCCATTCTTTGATGTATAATGATATAGGATTACGTTATTGACCGACCAATTATCATTCAAAAAAACACAGACATGGGCAAACGTTTAACAACAAAATAGCTCATTTTCCTAACAGAATTTGATTTTGTAATACATAAAGTTTTACTTACATCATATTGTAGAAATTAACACTTTTTACTATGTTAATCAACATAAAAATTAAATAAATTAAATATTTTATTTCATAAATATAAAATTAAAAAAAATTTTTTGAATATAAAATATAGTTTTTATTTTAAAATATTATACCTACAATATCACAAATGCGTGGCGATTAAATTTTTGTACTTTATGTGTAAATTTATTTGACATTTCTTAACTTTTATTTTCGTTTATCGACAAGTAGTGTCAGTAGCTGAGAGTGGGTAATATCTTAAAAACTGTTTACACGGTACATGTGTATATTATGTGCCACTAAAGGTGACCAATATCTTCCGTAGTATTATATGACTTTTCGGTATGGTAACATCGCGAATTTAGATTTATATATCTCTTGACATTCACGATTCGATGTTAGGCGTATTACGCTTACAAAATTGTTCATTGTGATAAATTCTGGTGTTTTAATCAATATACATAGGTGAGTAACCAACAATAAAATATTTCGCTTCGAAGATATAGAAAAATATATATAAAGTACAAGTATAAGTTTATTTTCTCGAAAACACATTTTTCAGTCACCAACATTAATGATGTTTTTCTTAACATTTGTTTTCTCTTCTTTTACATTGCATGACTAGATACACAACGATTATCGACTAAATGTATTCGTTGAAAAATTATTTTAACAATAATCATAAATTAATGAAGAATGTACTAGTTCGATATTTCTAAATGTATCGGCTATATTTTCGAATTTCAAACAGTTTGAGACAATATTTTGTATAGTTTGAGCATATTCGCAAAAAAAAAAAACAAACTACAAAATTATTTAAAACCTATTAGTTTCCGTTGCTAAAAAGTATATATGTGATACAACATATATATGATTAAAATATTTGTTTATGTTCACTGTAAACTGCATTTGATTCGAAACATTCTTGAGATAACACATTAAAAAAAATATAAATAAATTTATGTTCTCATCAGTCAGTGGATTATTGATCATTCATATAATTACGTTAAACTTAAAAAAAAAAACAATTAAAAAAGCTGTGAGTATATCTCATTCATTTAAGCAAATGTATTGCGCGAGAAACCTAGTT